GGCAAAAAAGACAAATTTAAGCCCAAACAATGTACTTCTAAAAGTTTCTTTCACAGCGAATTTTTATGTTACAACCTCCTCGAATGTTGAGACATCAAGAATTTTAGCATGCGCATCACACATTCAAGCATCCTGGATGAAAAAATAATCATTTTTTTCTGATTTTAAATGATTTTACTGTTCACACCCATTGCTGATTATCTATAATTTTTAGACTTTAAACACTTTAAGCAATTTGTAAAAATTCACGAAATGTGCGTTTAATGGACACATCAGTACTTAAAAGCGCAAATGATCAAAGTACTGTCCATCTACATCACGGGTACGCCGTTTGGTAGCAGGTCCTTGTACGTACTGTACGTGCGTGTCAACCTCCTGGTTTGCAGATTAGCAACTAATGCGCGATAGTATTACAAATGGACTGTTCCACGTCAATGCAATTAGCTAATATCTAGCAAGACAAAGCAGTATAGTTGTTATCACTAACTAATTTTCTAGGCATGTATACATGCATCCATACGCATCAAATAGTACCGGTGACAAGTCATTCTCATTTTCGTTCTAGAATATATGTAAATGCTATATTCCAAATGGTGTAGTCTAGTACAGTACGCTTTAGGACAAAGTACTAAAAAATGCCAAATGGCAAATGGGCACAGCTACGGGCGTACTAGAAAATGGCGCAGGTGTTAGGGCGAAAAGGTTAATTATTAAAAACAAAAAACAAGCAAAGTTGTTGACCTCCTCCCAACCCAACCTTTGCTCAGAACCCTAAATTTTTGGACCATGGCATGATCGGCTGGATCTTTGTGGTGGCCTATAATACTACTACTGTGCAAAGGTTGGAAAGCAAGAGAAGCACTAGGAGTATATGAATCCCTTCCTCTTTGCCAGATTTGATTATGGTTACTGAGGGCTTTGCGCTGGTCTTAATTGTTATTTGCAGATTCCCCATCATAGTTTAATCATACCGATGCAAGGCGCCCCTGGATGGATCATCAAGTGGTGCACTAAGCAACAAATGCACCTTTAATCAGGTCATGTGTACAGTGTACTGCATACATACATGCTTCAGGGCTTTTCATTACTTTTTGATGCTCCGTGTTAGTAGTGGCATGCATAATGGACCATGCAGCGCATGAGGCATTGAGTGCTAATTATAGACCTAAAAAAGCCCCTAAGTTTTGCAATTTAAATCAGAGCACAGCAAAGCAAGCCTAGCTTCATTAGGGAAATGCAGGTACTAGCTTTTATATATATCAGAAAAAAAAGAAGTAGTGATTCGAATCTTTACATATTCTTCGTGGATCATTTATCTTTACAAGTTTAATAACCATGGAAATCTTGTGAAAAACGAATCTCATTGCCCATGAATGATGCTGCATTGCATGGACCATACACGTAGAGCATTTGGAGATCATTTCATTTGTCTTGACTTGTTTGCTAATGTATGTAGTACTCCCTTCGGTCCTTTTTACTCTACATATTAGGTTTGTTCGAAGTTAATCTCATCCAACTTTTTACATTCATCTTGGAATATATTTTCATATTATATTTATTAGATATTATAGATGCTAATAATTTTTAATATAAATTTGATCAAATTTTTCGGCAAATCCAATGTGCAGAGTAAAAAGGACCAGAGGAAGTACTACATCCACGATCCACCGCCTTGATCGAGTAAGAAGGGTAGAGATGAACAGGAGCAGGAGAGGCAGGTTTGTACTATAAACGGGGCCAGGTGGGCGTTTCGTATACGCTTGAGCAAAAGAGCGCACGCATGACTGAAACTGCTATACTACATAGTAGACAATTCACAAGTGGGGGTGCTTATGATGTGCCTGCCTGCCTACGACTAGGAGCGAAAGCAATACAAACCATATCCTCTTTTTGTATGCCCGGTGACACTGACAGCTTGTCCTTGTTGCTCTACACATGTACTCCTACCCACCACCACCGGTATGTATGTACAGTACGTATGTATAATTTTGACGTTCGTATTTTTGTCGAACGAAAAATAAACAAGAAAGGCCAACTCAGAAGAGACGCGCGATTGTGTTGGTAAGAAATGGCTAAAAATTGTCTTAATAATATATCAAGCTTGCACTTGGTAAAATCATCTCAAAACACATGTGGTTTTCTTTTTTGCATAATTTGCAGTCTTGTGGGGGCAAAATTTCGTGTTTTAACCCTTTTCTGAAACCTATTCGAGATTTGCCCATAGGTTGAAAAAGTTTTGAGATCTGACCCTTTTGCTACCGCCAGAGTCCATGGCGATAGGGTCTAACGGCCTACCGCCAGGGACTTTGGCGGTAGGAAACATCGCTACCGTCAACCAGGCTGGCGGTAGCCTGCACAACCCTACCGTCAAGGTGCTTGGCGGTAGACACGAGCACGCATTATTTCAATACTTAGGAGGTTTTTGGTGGTAGGGCATGCAACCCTACCGCCAGAGTCCTTGGCGGTAGGCTGTTATCCCCTACCGTCATGGTCCCTGGCGATAGCAAAAGAGTTAGATCTTGAATTTTTTTCAAACTAGGATCAGATCTCAAATAGATTTGAAAAAAGAGTCAAAACATGAAATTTAGCCTCTTGCGGGTGCTCGCCGCTCGGATAGATGAAGTTACGATAGCACTCTGCAAAAAGAAGTGAAAGGAAGGGTCGAAGGAAGGGCCTTGTAACATATACGATGTGGCTACTACAGATCGTAGTACTGCTGGTACACGTAGGTGGTTTGAGGCGTGAGAGGATCTCCCGGCCGGATTCACCGCGTCCTCTCACGCCTACGCAGGCATGCAGGTGCAGCACACGCCGGCCCGGGGCCTGGTGTGGCGTGCCCATGCCGTGGTGGCCCACATGCAAGCATCTGAGGCTCAGAGGTGGGCCCGATGACAAGGTCCACGCTGGCACGTCACCGCCTCATGTCAGGTTCTCGATCCCCTCGTCCTATGCTAGAGCCAGTGACCGACCACTCGGCCACCCACGGCCATTGGACAATGCATCAAGATTAGGGAGTTGTAGCTCGGGGTTTATCCCTCCCATTATACGTCTGGACTGACACGATGTGATGAAAAGGAACGGGAAGAAGCAGTAGTATGAATGAAGAATGATGAAAAGGAGGAGGGAAGCCGCCGGATAATGTGTAATAGTACTACTACTTGAAATAAAAAAAGAATTACGTACGAAGCAGATAAGCACAAATGCGAAGCCGAACTAGATACTACGTCACGCCCGGTTTCTCTGACCGTTGCGAGCCGGCTTTGAGGGCCGCTGCAGGTGCGAGCACAGCGAGTACTGCTTATCCGACGACGTGCTAACCAAAGGAGTTAGTCGGACGAGCACTATTTCTTCTCATGCTAATAATGATTCAAAGCTAGTAGGAGTATTTGATCGAGGAGATGATATGTTATAATAAAACCTGAAAAGAGCTCCGTCGTAAAGTGATTGTGACCCTACTAACAACCACTTGTTATCCTCACTCCTCAGCCACCTCGTCTATACTCTGCTTCTCATTAAGAAAAATATATTGTATTGTTTAGAGTGAGAACAGATGAAGAAGCCATTGGGTCTCTGGCAGGCAAACAGTTTGTTAGTAGGAGTAGCTTTTTGTAGACTACTGTGTGTGTGTGATGTCGTTTGCATGCCGCTTTTACCCGCACGTTCGGTAGCCAAAATGGCATACCAGTATTATATATAAACAAACAATTAGTAATTGTTATTTCCAGTCTCTTCTACGGAGGTTATCGCGTGCAATCAGCTAGTATTTGTACCCCTGTGGTACGTGCTCTCTGCACATTGGACACGGCCAGTATTTTTTTCATGGGGAAAAGTCAAGTCAAAGTGAGGGCAAACCTAAGGATAGTATAAGGAAAACGCTTTCCTTCAGCCGACTGATGCACGCGCAGAGTCCGTCTCCTGCGTAGCTATCAAATCGATTTTGATCAAGTGCTCAGGCAATTACGCTGGCCACCAGTCCGTGCATGTAGGGTTTCTTTTGCAACTGTTTCAGAAGGTTTCTACAGCAGAGGTTTTATTTTCAGAAAATAAAACAGATGTGTGTTGAAGTTTTTTCGGCAACATGATCTAGTTTTAGAAAATTTCTGCAATAGAGGTCTTGTTTCAAAAAGAAAAGAAAAATGGATCGGCAGTGAAGATTTTTCTTTTGCAACAAGGCTCTTGTTTCAAAAGCATATCCCAGGTTGCAGAAAGCGTCGGAGAAGTGCCCGGTGTTAGAGCATACGAGGTGATGCATTGCAAGACGGTGCATGTTTCAGAAACATAGATTCAGTTGCAGAAACCGCAAGAGGAGTGCCCGGTGTGAGAGCTCATCGTCGTCGTGCTGAAGTAGAGGCAGTTGCTCGGGATGCTGGGTCAGAGGAGGTGCAGCAACTCTGGCGGCCGGCGGCGCTCCATGGCTGAGGCGCTCAGGCCATGTCGGGGCAGCGCTACTGTCTCGGTGAACCTTTGCCACAAGGTCCTTGTTGCGAAGCCCCTAAGTGCAACAAGCTAGCTGTTGCGAAGGTCCTCGGTTGGCTGGGAGGGTGAATCGGATGGCTGTTTTGGGTGGCATCAGACGGCTGCCGAGGCGGTTGATCTAATCGATTTATCACCCGACGGATGTGCAGTGCCCAGAGTATAATACACAAAAAATATTTCATGGAACGCACTACCCCTCAAATTTTGAAAAAAATTCAGTTTTTTTTTAAATGTTCAAAACTAGGTCTGTGCAGTGGTGCTCTACCATTTGGCCATTTTGCAGTGTGCTGAGACGAGAGCCGAGACGAAGGCAGCCAAAACTGCCCTCCTCTCCTCCTCATGGCCGGCGCCTTTTCCCTTCACCACATTTAACGCCACCACCTCCCTCGAAACGGCAACTGCGTGACCTTCTGCCCTCCTCTCCTCTCTGCTCTGCTCCTCCACCACCACCTCCCTCCTCCCCCAGAGCTCACCAGACGCCACTAGCTCCGCCGGCAGAAGCGAGGCGCGGGGGCGCGCGCGCGATGGGCAACTGCCAGGCGGCCGAGGCGGCGGAGGTCATCATCCAGCACCCCGGCGGCAAGGTGGAGCGCCTCTACTGGCCCACCCCGGCCGCCGAGGTCATGAAGACCAACCCCGGCCACTACGTCGCGCTCGTCATCCTCCGCCTCTCCCCCGACGACAAGGCGGCCGCGGGGGACGAGGCCGCGGCGGCGGCCGCCGTCGCAGGCGCCGGCGCCGCAGCGAAGATCACCCGGGTCAAGCTCCTCAAGCCCAAGGACGTGCTCCACCTCGGCCAGGTCTACCGCCTCATCACCGCGCAAGGTTCGTCTACAGTCCTCCACTCCTCACTGCGTCCATCGACATCGATAGCCGCCGCGCTCGCCTTCCTTGTCGTCCATGGCGTGGAGCAGCGCGTTTCTGCGCCTGGATTCCGCCGTTCGTTGCAGCAATCTACTGTAGTTCTAATCGATGCTCGTTGGTGTCGCGCTGCGCAGAGGTGACCAAGGCGCTGCGGGCGAGGAAGGACGACAAGATGCGGCGGTGCGAGGCCATCAAGCAGCAGCACGACCAGCTCCGGCGCGGCGACGGGGCGGAGCAGGGCGCCTCGGACAAGGTCAGTGCCTCCCCATTCTCCTGGTGATAATCTCCTCTTCCTATCTGAAACTGCACGAAGCAGTATACTGATTCCTATACGCGCTCCTGCCTCCTCAGGACGCGAACGCGAACGCGAAGCAGCGGGTGGAGAAGGACCGGCACCGGGGCTCCGGCGGCGCGCAGCCGGCCGGTGGCGGCAGAGGCCGGCACTGGCGGCCGTCCCTGCAGAGCATCTCCGAAGCCGCGGCGGGGCAGAGCAGCAGTAGCATCTCTGAATCCACTGCGAGCTAATCGCCGGATTAACAATCCGCTTTTCTTCTCCTTTCTTTTGTTTTTCTTAGTAGTATAAAAGTGCTTGGAGTTGGGACCTACCAGACCAGAAGAAAAAACCTGTAAAAATCAGAGTACCAGAGCAGCAGCAGCAGCAATAGGAACGAAGCTTGTTTCATCTCTCGTGTACTGTAGTAATTATTGCCGTGGTGAAACTGTGAGTGCTTTCGATGGAGTGGCTTGCAACCTCGCAATCTCAAAGCCTCTTTTGAATTGATGAAACACCCGAATTTCCCCCAAATTCTCGCGACTTAGGTTAGTAAATCTAATTAATAATAAGAGCATAAAGACTTTCATTCTAGAATTTTTTCAAAAATCCAAAAAGCCTTTTCTATTTATCCATTTTAATTTCATCATTAAATAGAAACCCTTCTGGGTTTTTTTCATTCTATCGAAAGAATTTTCAAAAATCAAATGAGGAATTAATTAGAAAAAAATTAGTTCTATAATTGCAAGTTAGAAAAAATAAGTCCAACTCTTCCAAGTAGCGTTTCTATTGGGCAGCAAAGCAAGAGTTTATTGTAAAAAAGAGTTGAAAACGACACAAGCAGACGAAGTCTATTTTAATGAATACTCTAACGTTCCTAAATTTTATGGGCTTTCCCAAAATCCACGATTCCCGGCAATAATTTCGCCTGTTTGTATGCGGCATTGCGAGTTGTACATGAGCGGAAAGGAAGCGTACTGCAAAAAAAAAAAAAAAACGCTGTTTGTTTTACCATGCACGGCACGTCGCTTGCAAAAATCAGCAGATTTCCGTGTGTTTCGGCAATCTGCTGCTGGAATCAAACCGTACCACTAGTAGTCACTGATGGCGACAATGCTGCATTGATCAACCGCAAGATCGAGGCTCCAGATGAACTCGAGCCCGTTTTGAATTTTCAGGAAGATAGCACATGCGTTTCCAGTGTTCCAGAGCGTAAAAAACTCGGGAGCCGAGGACAACAGCGGCACCACTGCTGGTGATTCTGCACTGTTTAGTTTATCTGCTACATATGCTAACTATAACCAGTGACAGTCGTCCAGTCCACTTGGATAGAGCTGAGGGTCAGGGCGATGCCGTTGCCACTTGCCAGGCCGGACAGGCGCCGCCCAACGATGCCCGCCAGCGCCAGTCGAGCTCCAGCGGGGCTCCCGTCGGGCAGAGGCCACCGCCGCACGTGTGGCTCCGCGCATCGGCGCTGCTCCGGCCGCCCACCGCTCGGGATCCGGTCTCGCCTGCTGTCCCGCACGCCGCACAAGGGTCAGGGTCAGGGTCACGGCCAGTCTCTGCATTTGGAACAACTGAAACTGAAGCTGAGCTAATAAAGAACTGGTGCTGATTGTACTGAGATCCGGATCCACAGGCCACGGCCAGTGCAGCAGGCCAGTGATCGCGCTTAGTTTTAGCCCGCGAGGCCAATCCCAACCTCTGAAAACAGTATTCCAGACATGTTATCTATGCGATCATCAGGACATTTGTGCCAGTCGCGCGTCGCGGTTCGGTTCGAGCCCGAGCCGCGACGCGCGAAGATGTCTTCTGTGCGTGCCTGGTCCCTTGAGATGTTCCAGATCCAGATCTTACAGTTGCGTGCGTTGGTGTGGGGTGATTAATTGGTGATCTAGCTAGAGTTGTGATCCCATGCATCCTGGCTCATGATTAAGTGAAGTGGCGAAAGCCTGATTAGCTGCGGCGTGCGTTGCTCAAAAAGGGCGGGGTGGTGGTGTATCATTGTTGAGACAAAAGCCTCCGCTTTTTTGACCAACAAATCAATCAAACCCGTGCCAGAAATTGCAAAAAAAAGGGAGCACCAGAAGAGGACTCGAGGGTAGAGGAATGTGCTGCAAGCACTAGAAGATGGCAGTAGTATATATAGTTGGGCATATGAACATCATGATCAGGTATCATTGGATGAGATGTTGACAAAGTATCTGAAAACTAGAAGTGGAAATTACTGATAGGCTCCCCAGTCCACGGCACATACGTACAAAAGCGCCATTACACCTCCACCATCATCAGTAACTAAATGTCTAAAACTACTCATAATCATAGCTGCTAAGTGATAACAGGATGCATTCCCTAAAACCGTCTAAACAAATGTCGCCCTTCACACATTTCTCGTCTTTGAATCCGGCGTCTCCTTCCAAAAAGATAAACAGGATCCTGCATCAGAAAGGTAACTGTTGAGCCATAGCTTAGTACTACTAGTTCTGAATCGGATTGCCATGTGTAAATTTGAAAAGGGTCTTACATGGAAGATTAAGAAGGCCCAAGTACTCAGTCCGAAAGATCGCTGGTTGAGACCTTGCTTGCAGAACCTAGGGTTACACAATGTATGGTTAATACGAGAACGTGACAGGACATCAATGAGAAAAGCGAGAGAGTAGAACGTACGGTTAGGTCCGAGCCAATCTTGAGTACAGACAAGCTGCTCAACCCAGTGCTTATGACCTGACTCACAAATTGCAAGTCCGGCAGTCGTTGTTGCTACCTCATAATCGCATCTGTATGGCATAGCCAATATATCGCGTGCCATCCGAGCAATTGTAGGATAAGTCAGGTTATGTTCCTTCCACCACTGAAGAACACTCGTCTGGCCTCTACAGTAGCTTGGCTCATGCAAGTACTGGTCAAGTTCTATCATCGGTCGCCCCTTATTACATTTGTCTCCATAATCGCCACAGCATGCAAATGGCGCATCATCTTCATTCATACCATCTTCAATGATAACAGTTTCCTTGCTAGTTTTGGACCCAGAAGTGCAGCTAGGGTCTTCCACCTGACCAGAATATTCATAGAAGAGACTGAGCAATGTATCATGGACATCCTTTTTATAGCCATCTTTTTCATTTTTACAGAGGTAACCGCTCCTAGACTTGATGTGTTTCAGGCCGTATGAAGGATCCATGGCTATAGTCATACATAAATGTAAGCAACAGAGTTTCCAATATTTCTTGAACTTCTGCTGCATCTTCTTTAGCATATTGGAAAATGATCCATCCACATAGCTCTTAACCCCACGACGCAAATCATGCTTCACATCCCTAATCGCATCAAACAAGTGCACTGGACCACGAAGACTCTTGCTTGTGTCCATGTACTGATGAAACTCTTCCAAGGTCTCACACATCTTACGCTCTTCGCCCCAGTCTTCCTGAGATGGTGCGTATTTGTAGTTGGGATACCGCACTGCAGACTACTTAGGACCCATCATAGGTTTAGAACAGTTTGCTGATTTCTCCATGATTTTTTCAAGTTCATCCAGCCCCACCTGAATAACCTGATCAAGTAAATGAGTTCCACGACGCACCACAAACAAGCTCTGGTTTGCAAAGGTTGAGTTCTCTTTCATGAGCTGTGCTTTGACACTTGAAGCCACTGAATCATCAATAAATGCATCATCCAGTACAATGCTGAAAACTTTTCCACAAAGACCCCAATCTCGGATGGCCAGCAATATGGCTTCACCCAGTTCTTCTGCATTGCAAATAGTATCCATGGCACGAAATGTGATGATCTTTTGTTGCCTCTCCCATTCATCATCAATGTAATGAACACTCAAGCACAAGAAAGCCGAGACTGGATCGTAGTGCCAAACGTAAGCACTCAAGCATACCCGACTGCGAAGGGCTGCAAGCTTCTCCTTCAGCTTGGCCTTTTCATTGTCGAACAAATCCAAAAATGTAGATATCAAGTCAGCATAGGATGGCATCTTGACCACGGGATTCAAGAAATCCACAGACTTCCTGAGTCCTCCATGGTCCATCATCGAGGGCAGGTAACCGTGCAAGGCCAATTTCCTAACAAGCTCACCATGGGATCCATCCTGACCAACATCCTGATTCTTCAGTTTTATGGCAGTAGGAATGGCCTCGTGTTCAGGCAATGCAAGTTCCTCATGGGACTGATTCTTTACATTCTTGTTGATGGGATTGTCAGGGAAGGCATCATTTTCCTGCTCAGCTGTAGCTAGTTCGTCATGAGACCCATTTTGATCAACTTGTTGACTCTTTGTATTTCTGTCAGTGGGAACATCAGGCAAGGCAAGATCATTCTGCTCAGGCGATCCAAGTTCCTCATGAGACCCATTCTGATTACCCTCATGGCTCTTCCGATTAGTGTCATTGTGAAGCAAAACAAGATCCTTCTTCTCAGGCCTTGCATCTGCTGTGCCCAAGCATTTCTTCTTGCTAGTGGGAAAGAACGATAGCTTCTTCTGCGTCGGATCAGAGCCAGCTGCTGCTGTACTCTTCCGTTGTGTTGGCCTCTTCTGGGCCCGGGGGCCGCACATGGCATGGTGTTTAAGCAGGTTGCTAGTGCCATTTGTGCTGTTGCTATTGAAGACCAGGTGGCAATGCATGCACTCAGCCTTCGCGACCTTCCCACCAACGTAGATGGGTGTGAAGTCTTCCCACGCCTTCGATCGGAGCCTTTTCGGGTTTGCGCGGGAGTGGCTGCCATTGTTGTGGTCTTGTGCCACCATGTTTTTGTCACTGCTAACTTCCTGTTCCATGCCTAGGCATAAGAAAAGGTAGAACCAGTAAAAATTTAGCCATTTGAAAAAAAATGCGTGTTGATATTTCAGCATTCCCTTATAATTTTGAACAAGTTCTCTGTGGAACTTTAAGCAAACAAATTAGCAAATGGTCGATTACTTTAAAAATTGATCGAGAGACCGAGTTTGGACTTAGGGGATAACAGTTACTCCCTCCGTTCCGATTTAATTGTCGTGATTTTAGTTCAAATTTGAACTAAAATCACGACAAGTAAATCAGAACGGAGGGAGTAGAAGAACAATGGGAGCGCAACAGAAACCACCGATGCCATTCAAACTGATCAAA